GGGAATAGTGCTTTCAGACTTCACTGACGTGCATTGTTTCCACCGCCCAACCAACCAACCGATGGTTTTGCTGGCTACGTGCTGACAATGCAGGACAGAATGCGTCCAGGGCAGCGCCAGTCGTGAAAGGGTCTCGTGATCCACCGGTGCCCACTGTTGTCAACACGTGGCCAGCAACACCGTCGTGGTTGGTCCGTCGATCGGTCGGTAGAAACAATGCACGTTGAGGTCTGAAAGCATCCAGTCGCAACAATTCAGTGGCAAATCACCTCTGCGTACTGAAAGAATGGCCAGAGCTCACTCACCTCTGTGCAACGTTATGCCTCTCATTGTAAAAAAATGCAACCCACCGGCAATAATGGTTTTTATACCGAACTTGTTTAGCGCTGCTCTTATTAGATTCATATCATTATATCCCTCACTTATCACAAGCGGATTTTGCTCGTTTCAACGTCATCCAACGGCCTGGATACTAGTACTTCTTCTACCTTTGTTTATATCTCGTTATATGCCAAGGCGAAAAATCATTGTCCAACAAGGCGCCGAAAAAGAAAAAAAGATGTCTGGTGTTGATGATCCGGCTGGATCTTTCGAGTAAAGGTGGGAGGATTAAAAACGAGCTACTAAGCGAATCTTGCTTCGCAGTTCCCTTGCTCTTACCGTCCTTGGTCTTCTCTTTACCTGTGATTTGTTTCACAACAAGGATTGGGGCTAAGAATTTAAAGTGTACCCGTGGACCTGCATTTTCGATAATCGGCGAAGTTATGAGAGCAACAGATGCTTGCTGGCAGGAGTTCTTACAAGTACCATCGGTGTCGAAGGAAAAGACTGTAGCTGATGACTTTTTACGAAACATCCGTCTAGGTAGTACGTCTTACAATTAGAGGACACATATGTTCGGTCTGATATGTTATTCATGGTCTTCAGTGTAAGGAATACTGCAAGAAAAGAAGTCTACTACCATACTAAATAGTTTCAGATTAAACAGAAGTTGTGAATTTATGTTTTATTAGCATTTAAAGAGTTATCGTACCGCATTCTTCAAGGTATCAGTTAGCAGTTATCGTATTTTATCTGGTCTTGTCTAGAGATTGCTCCAGAATTACTATTGCGAAGCTGCAGCTAGTCTTTTCACACTAAAAATTCCGAAATTCAAGCTCTTCTCATTCCAACCCTCAAAAGAATTACTGATAGCTTTCAAGTGCTAAAATGATGTCAAGCCATCTACTAGGTGTGTGCATTAGTGTCCGCTACCAGTTTGATTTCAAGAAAACGGCACTGAAGCCCAACGGATGCTTTTATGGAGGACAAGCTTCATCTGAACGAACCTGCTGAGATGGTTTCTCTTCACTCGAGAGTTTGCAACTAAAGCGGAAAGTTCATTACCAAAAAGAAATGCTGTGTGTGCATTTGGAGTTGGGATCAAAAGGTTGTTGTGTGCCATGAGCTGAGCACAATGGGAAGGGTTGCGGGAGATACGGAGACGCGTAGCAGGCGGTGAAATCCGTCTTTCCGTAAGCGACAAAGGAGGAGAGTTCGTGGTTCTACCGCGTTCCCTGGACCGAGAGATCACGAAACTCCACCTCAACGATACTTCTGTTTACTGTGGCTCTACGGAAAAGGCGTTCCTCATCCAGTGTCACAGGCTGAATGCGTTATGAGTATTTATTGGAAAGATAGCAAAGTTGGATAATAGATTGATCAAAAGGTTGAAGTTGGACACTCCCTCATGTCCATTTTCTATAGCCTGATCAAAACTCGCAAGTTGTCCAACGAAGGTGAAAGCTCGGTTAATGCTAGTG